TACTCCCCTGTCGTCTTCCTCCTCGCCAGAAGGACGCGGACACCGCGACGCCGCCGTGCGCGCCACCTCCTCCCTGCCTGCGTGCTTCCTCGACGCCCTGGCTTTCTCTGGAGACGCCACGCGCGTTCCCGAACCCAACCGCTCACTCCCGTCCTCTCTCCCCTCCTCTGTTTCTCTCCCTCGCGACCACCGAGCGTGCCCGTCGCCGCCGTTCGCTGCCACCTTGGCCACCGACCACCCCTCGCCCTGCCGATGAGTCCAGAGGCTCCGCCTCGACGCCCTCACCCTCTCCATTGAGCTACACCCCGCCGGGAGGCCTGCTCCACCGTCACTGCCATCGTCTTCAACCTCGGGCATCCGAGATGCCGCCGGCCGATTCGTCTGCCCCAGGTCGTCAACGAGCAAGCCGAACCCCTCCTCGTGATCACTGTGAGCTCCTACGTCGATTACCCCTCTTCCCCGGCCTCTCCACGCTCCCTAGCCACGGCTCCACCTCCGGCCGAAGCTCTGCTCCGCCATGGCTGCAGCTCGCGCGCTCCCCGTGCTCCGCTCGTTACTCCCCTGCAATAGGCGTGCTCCGGAGCGCCTCCCCTCGTTGCTGCCTTGCTCAGACCCCTCGCCTGTGAGCCCTAGCCGCAACGCCGCACCTCACCGAGCTCCGGCCGTCGCGCTTGCCATCGCCGCCGTCACTACGGTCCACCCCAGCGCGAGCTGATGGCTCCGTTGGATGCGGACGAGCACTAGCGTCTCACAGGACTAAACCGCGCTCGAAACCGCGGCCTACAGCTCGATCCCGAGCGTCGCCGCCGCGAGCCGTGGTCGCCGCCGTTTAATCGCCGGCGCGTCCGACGTGGCTATGTCATTAGGGCTTAATTACATTTAGTTTAATCACACTAGTCACTGACATCAGGGCCCCACCAGCTAAATAACCACCGGTTATTCTTTTAATCAGTTTTAGTCAAACCAAGCGGGACCCACACGTCAGCGTTGACCTTGCTGACGTGGCCTTGACTGGCCCCGCACGTCAGTGACCAACGCCAGCCCTATGACACTGACCAGTGGACCCCACTGGTCAGGTTTGACCAGCAGCAGCGTCTGTTGACCTGCTGACATCATAGTGATGCAGTGCTGACGCAGTAACTCTTTTTCTGTATTTATTCTTATATAGGAAATTCCAGAAATTGTTGCAAACTTCTAAAATTCATATAAAATCAACCATAGCTTCAAATCAAACAAATTATATATGAAAAATTATCAGAAAAATTCAAGGAATCCATCTGTACCATTTTCATGCATGTTTGAACAATGTTTGTCCTCTGTTTTGGACAAAACGAATAAAGGGCATTTAAATAATCATATATGGAGTTGGAATTTGAATCATGTATTCAAACCAACTTCATTTAAATCATAGCTAGGTGCATTAGCTCAAATCACAGCATATTGCCATGTCATGATCATGCATCATATTGTAGCATTGCATTGATTGTGTTCTTTCTCAGTTATCGGTGTTTGTTCCCTCTCGATAGACGTGGTTCCGACGACGAGTTCGATGACACCGATGAAGAACTATATTACCTTCAGAAGTGCCAGGCAAGCAAAACCCCCTTGTTCATTCCGATACAATCCCACTCTCTCGCTTCTGCTCTCTTTTACTGCATTAGGACAACACCGATTCATCTGTTACTTGCTGCGGTAGCTGAACCCCTTTATCCTTTGCATGACCTGTCATTGCCACAGTAAATAGATGAAACCCACTAGCATGAGTAGGAGTTGTTTGAGCCCTGTTGTGCCTACTCATTCATGTTTGTTTGTCATGCCTGCTACTGCTTAGAGTTGAGTCAGGTCTGATTCATCGGGGATGAATCAGAGGCGTGTGAACATGTCCTACTGTGTGTGAGCTAAGTGTGTGAACACGATTTGGTAAAGGTAGCGGTGAGAGGCCATGTAGGAGTACATGGTGGGTTGTCTCATTGCAGCCGTCCTCAGGAACTGAGTTCTGTGTTTGTGATCCATGATTCAGCTACTACCATACATTGGGCCCTGAAATATGACCCCGCTCGACTTCTTATTCACCCTCGTCCTCTGTCCAGGAGTTGCAAGTAGTTTCTGGTGTTTGTAGCCTACTGGAGGCCGTGGACAGCGCTGACCGTAGGGGTGGGCTGTGATGCGGTAGGTACGTGGCACGGTGTACCGGATGCCCGTTTGGTATCTCGGGAACCCTGTTCACATCGTTTGGGGCTGTGAGCGAAACTCCGGCCGGATCTCCTCATGGATGGAACCCGAATAGGCGATAAACCTGGACTAGAGACTTGAGTGTTTAGGTAGGTCGTGGTCTACACCCACGTCGGCTTTCGCTTGAAGTCTGCCGAGCACATGTCGTGTGCAGACGCTAAGTGGTGGAAACATGTATGAAGAAGTACACCCCTGCAGGGTTAACATCATCTATTCGAATAGCCGTGTCCGCGGAAAAGGACTTCTGGGTTGCTTATATCAGTTCATAGACAAGTGAAAGTGGATACTCTAAAATACGCAAGATAAGCGTGAGTGCTATGGATGGCGTTCTCGTAGGGAGACGGGAGCGGATCCATAGTGGTGTATTGATATGGTGAATATGTGGACTCGTGTGCGCCACCTCAAAAGAGTTACTTGCAGTCGTAGTTCAGGATAGCCACCGAGTCAAAGCTGGCTTGCTGCAGTTAAACCCCATCATCCCCTTTGTTGATAATGATGCATATGTAGATAGTTCTGATGTAAGTCTTGCTGGGTACATTTGTACTCACGTTTGCCTATTTTATGTTTTTGCAGAGAGACTTCAGTCTCACTAGTATTTCCGCGTGGTCTTCGACGTTTAGCTTGTTACCTCAGCTACGATCTTGTGCCCCGGCAGGATCTGATAGATAGTCAGGCTTCTCAGCCTTTTTCATTTATAGATGTCTGTACTCAGACATGATAGCTTCCGCTTGTGCTTTGACTTGTATGCTCTGATTGTTGGGTCGTGAGACCCATGTTTGTAATATCTCGCTCCTCGGAGCCTAATGAATAAACTACTTGAGTCGTAGAGTCATTTTGTGATGCCATGTTGTATTGCACATATCGAGCATATTGTGTGTATGTTATTGAAATGCTTGGTATGTGTGGGATCTGACCATCTAGTTGTTTATCTTTAGTAGCCTCTCTTACCGGGAAATGTCTCCTAGTGTTTCCACTGAGCCATGGTAGCTTGCTACTGCTCCGGAACACTTAGGCTGGCTGGCATGTGTCCTTCTTCGTTCCTGTGTCTGTCCCTTCGGGGAAATGTCACGCGATGAATACCGGAGTCCTGTTAGCCTGCTACAGCCCGGTTCACCGGAGTCCTGCTAGCCCAGTGCTACAGCCTGGATTCACTCGCTGATGACCGACACGTTCGATGCTGGGTCATGGATGCCTGTCCCTGTAAGTTTGTGCCACTTTGGGTTTACGACTAGCCATGTCAGCCCGGGCTCCTTATCATATGGATGCTAGCGACACTGTCATATACGTGTGCCAAAAGGCGCAAACGGTCCCGGGTAAAGGTAAGGCGACACCCGTGGGAATACCGTGCGTGAGGCCGCAAAGTGATATGAAGTGTTACATGCTAGATCTATGTGGCATTGAGTCGGGGTCCTGACAAGATGGATCAAGTTGCATCGACTACAGATCCATGGAGTTTTGAAAAGTAGGTTCCTAAATTCATACCATTAGTGACAAAAAAATCTTTAGAACTTCAATTATTTTCATTGATTCAACTAGATGTAATGAGCACCAACCAAAACCAAGAGGAACTAGTAACTATACCAAGTAGTCTTCAGTAATTCTTACTTACAAGAACTAGAAATTCCTTTGATTCAACCCAACCAAACACATCTCATAATTCAACAAGCGCAGGAAGCCATTGGTACTCAAGGGACCAACTAATCAGGGAAACCCCTGATCCCATCAAAGTCAATTAGCCTCAGCGTTGAAGTCATACCTGGCAGCAAACCTCCATTGAGGATGGATCTGGATGCAGCAGCGCATACGCACAACTCGAATGGGAACATAGCAGCGACCACACACGCGCACAGGCTTCCTTCTCACTGAAATTTCTTCAGTTCCTCGAACATCAGAGGAAAAACAAAACTCAGGGCCGCATCCCACTTCAAATTACATAGCTCCATGGATGGGCTCAATTTTTTTCTCACTAAATTCCATAGAAGGCAGACATGTACCATGAAAGGATGTAGAAGTACGGAGCACCGGCTGTACGGGTGAGCTTGTAGATTGAGTGCTTGCTGAAATTCGTGGATAGGGGAGACACCTTCTTCGCTCTCGCACGGACTAATTAGCAAGGAGGCGAGGGAAGGGCCGTTCGCGGAGGACCGACGGCTAGATGCAGAAGAAAAGGCGAGGTGGCGGACGGGAGACGGCGGCGTGGAGGCGTGGCAGGCGAGATGCCGCAACCGTGGTGGGCCGCGTCGGCCGAGGCGAGGTGGATCGGCAGCGGCGGCCGGCACAAGTTGGGGCGGACCGGCGGAGGCGGCGACAAATGCGAGGGAGGTGGGGAGGCGAGTGGATAGCGATGGGTGCGGACGGAAGTGGTCTACTATTTCGCCTCAGTCAGTCGTGTGAGCGTCCCGACCATCTGGCACCTGGCCCACGCGCACGACAATTCGAGCGAGATCGGACGGCCACAAGTCGGCCGCCCGGTTCGTTTAGTTAGTGCGCGGCCACTTTTTAGATTTTAGAAAGAATATATATAGCCAAAATAAAAGAAGTCAGAACACGGATAGCCCGTCATCTGAGGGAAGCTACCATTGCCACGCGCGAGCTAAGGTCGACTTTAAGCCAACATGAAGCAAATCCCAAGGTCATACCTCCACGCTCTACGCAAAGGCAGTAGACGGACGGTGCGTTCAGGAGGCATACACCTACGCTACACCTCTCGCCTCTCGCTACCTACTCTGCATATAGTACGCACGCAGCGCATAAAAACACACTCCACCATGACGCCGCACCACAGGAAGCTTCACGTCCCGGTGCCATCTTTGGCCACAGCGACGCTCCTCCTGCTTCCCCTCGCGCTCCTCGCCGCCGTGCTCGTCGCCGTATACCACAACGAGTTCGCCCTGCAGTCCTATCTGGCCCGCCCCACTTGCCCGAGCAACGCCAGCGACACCAGCCTCACGGGGCGGCACGTCGCCGTGCGGGTGGCCCCGGATTTCCGGCTGCTCATCGGCGTGCTGACGCTCCCGGGCCTGTACGAGCGGCGGCACCTGATGCGCACGGTGTACGCGCTCCAGCAGCCGAACCTGACGGCGCACGTCGACGTCCGGTTCGTCTTCTGCCGGCTGGCCTCGGAGGAGCAGCGCGTGCTCGTGGCGCTGGAGGCGATGCAGCACGGCGACGTGGTGGAGCTGGACTGCCCGGAGAACATGGACAACGGCAAGACGCACGCCTACCTCTCCAGCGTCCCGGCGCTCTTCGGCGACCGGGCGTACGACTTCGTGATGAAGACCGACGACGACACCTTCTTCCGGCTGCCGCAGCTGGTGGAGTCGCTGAACCGGGCGCCCAGGGAGGACCTGTACTACGGGTGCATGGTGCCGTGCGACGTGGTCCGCGTGCAGGAGAATGAGTACATGTCCGGCATGGGGTATGTCATCTCGTGGGACCTCGTGGAGTGGATCGTCGCGGCGGCGGATCAGATCAGAAACCACACAGTCGGGCCGGAGGACAGGCTGGTCTCCTCGTGGTTCAGAGGTGCCGGGAAGGGCAAGAACCGGGTGGACACGAAGCCGGCCATGTACGGCTTTCCTGATCGCGCGGACCATTGCGCGCACGAGCTCGTGCCGGACACCATCGCCGTCCACAAGCTCAAGAACAACGGGAGGTGGGCGACAACGCTCAAGTACTTCAACTTCACCGCGGGGCTCCAGCCGTCCAAGTTCTACCGCATGGATCGATGAACTGGGAGTTTTTTTTCTTTGGGGGTTGATCTCGTATTGTATTTTGATGTATTATTATTACTCCCTCCGTCTCATAATATAAGAACGTTTTTTAAACTACACTAATGTTAAAACGTTTTTATATTATGAGACAGAGAGAGTAGTACGGAAATTCACATGGGCACACGAATGCGGGGGCAATCAGCTGCCAAGCCCTGCCGCCCGCTCGAGTTATCTCGTGATTCGCAAAATGGTTGAATCCCACGTGAGTGAACAGTAAAAAAATGCTCAAAATGTTTTAGGTTTCAACTATAAACTTACTTTTTTGCATCTAAAAATACCATGTTTTAACAAGGTTTAGAGATTAATTTTAAGCATTTTTTTCTGTCGGTCGGGTAGACACAAAATAATTATTTATTATCGATTGCTCGTACTAAGTTTCAACACTGAAACTTAATCTGATTTTCAAAAATCGTCCAAATATATTTAAAATATATCTTATTTTAAAGTGCCGGTCATGTTAGTGTCTCCGTTCGGTGTGACTCTATGTATACATATATCTTATTCTGGTTCCCATCGATGTGTTATGTTTCTTTAATACAGTATATACGTGGATGCTCAATATATGTGTGTACATTTACCTTTATAAACACATGCACACCTACTCTATCTCCATGGGCACATTTGAGAGACTGAGCCGGTACATCATCTTAAGATTGACGAAGTCGCCACATACGTATTCGTAATCGACGGGAATGTTTCCTCCCACTAAATGCACATCGCCCAAAAATCTGAAATAAATTAAAAAATGCGAGCAACAGTGTTAAATCTGTGACTTGAACTCTAGTGGGCCCAGAATACCCCCGTCCTCATAAGCATTCAATCACAAGTTTGTTCACACTCACATGTTACGTCTAATGGATCTCTCAAAAAAAATGTTATGTCTAATGGACGCTTTACTACGGAGTATACAAATAGTTGTCTACTCCCTCCATCCTAAAATATAAGAATATTTTTGACATTAGTGTAGTGTCAAGATCGTTCTTATATTATGGGATAGAGGGAGTAGATTATTAGGCATATATACATGACCTATTGGGTTTACCATACGACGCTTAAAATATTGGAAAATCTATAGATGAGCGCAGCACTTTTCCAGATTACTATTTATTTACCTTTCACTATTGATTACACATTTACATTGTAACTTCATATTGTTAAATATCTTTAATATGAATTTAGACAACACAGTCTAGAATAAAATTAACTGATTATTGGTGTGGCTGCGCATGGCTATCAATTTTAAATTTAGTTTCATTTCACATTGGTATTTATTACTAATTTAACATATATTTGGAACTGCTTTCTGACACTAATTTCTTCAATTTTCCAGAAACCACTAGTTAAGTGCATCCACGTTTATATACCTAGAAGTGATTTGTTCAACTAGGTTGGTAAAGTATATATGCAACTATGCAAGTATGCACTGTGATGACTTCATGTGTTGTGCGTAGTGACTTTTCTTTGGACCTGCGTAGTGACCTGTTTTTAGTAAAACACGTAATGATATTTGGGGAGACAAAAATATCAGTGCCTGTACACGTATACATGCGCGCGCGCGAGCACACACAGAGAGAGCTGCGTCATGCATGCCCCAATCTATTCTTAAGTTGATTTTAATTTTAATAAAAAATATAAGTAAAAATACATGATTCTTTTATGAAATACAATTTGCACACAATTTGTTTTTCCTATTTTGAATGTGGCTCAAAAGTGTATATAAAATTCAATATATATAAAAAATAAAAAATAAACTGCTGGCTTTCTATCCACGAGCAGCTCACGTCTCGGTTTCCTCTGACCTGCAATTAATGGGCCTGCCCATTTATTCCGTTATCAAATACAATAGAGCTGAGTCAGCGGGCTATAAGGAATAAACTAGTATATTTTTACTTAGTTGGAGAAAAGAGAAGATAAGAGAGAAAGTAAGCGGGCAGCTCTAGCACGTGCTCCTAGGCACTCTACGAGAATGAAAAATGGGTCACATAATAAAAAAAAAATAGTACATTCTTTTAATCTATTATTGTACATATTGACTATAAAATGAACTGTAAATGACATGGCACTGGCTTATAGCCAACAGCTGACTTTACTATTAACCATGCTCTTAAGCGCCGTAGTTAGCGTCATATAGCAGCCCCGGCAGCCCCCCGTCCAAACTTTTGATTTTCAGTTCTTCACAACGTTTGCCAAAAAAATAAAATATTCAGTGTCAAACCACGCAAAGTTTCAGCCGAATCTGGCACCTTCTTGGGCTAGCCGCCGGCCAATTTCCGGAGATACGATGGCCGGAACCTGAAGCATTTCCGTGCCACAACGCATCACTTTCCCAATAATTTGGGAACAAGTTAACCTGAGTTGAAAAAAAAAACTCTCTTTGTGTCTCCTTCTCCACGGCAGTTGGGGCGAACAACTCGCCCCTTCAGGCTTAGCTAGCCCGTGAATTCACCTCTCGCCAGCTTGCTGCTCCCGCGGCAAGTTGCGGGGAGGGGAATCCCATACCTCGTCTCAGCTGGTAATTTACATGGACAACGCTACACCTACGGAGATTTGCAGGGGAGTCAGGTTACGGGATGAGCTGTCAAGATGTGATTAGAAAATCAAAGGGGGAGGGGACCACCACCAGAAATCAGGGGAGAGATAATTTATGGAGAAATGAGTCCATAGGTAAAATCCGTAGATGCCACCTGTAAGTCTAGCATTTTTGAATTTACATTAGGTATTTCTTACTCCTCGTAACCGTGGCACTTGGACAGATGATGATGCCTCATCTTTGAGTTACTACTCCGACGACTTCAATCTTTCTTGAGTTCGTTCATCAAGATGGAGCTCCGGCATAAATTCATGTTGTCTCCTTATGACATTGATGTTAGAATTTACCGTGTGCATACGCGACAACGAGATATGGTGTCATGTGCTTCAGATCGATTTAAGGGTTCAACGGAGATGATTGCGACTCCAGGGCGTTAGTCCTTAGGGGCACGTGCATGAAGACTCACCGTCTGTCATCGACAAGGTCAAGCCGGCTTCGGAAGGGTAGGGCGGACATGAATGAGCAGGCTCATTTTGACGGAGGTAAAAATTGTTCGATGGTCAAGAGACCTCTTATTTTTGTTATGCTTAGGGTGCTTTCTTCATACTTCTCATGAACTTTCATGGTAAATCCAGGTTTTTTCTCCGCAAACAAAAGATTGTTACGTGCTTATCACTTGGAGATTTTGCTCTTGATCTGTGCCCCTTTCAATCAGCCTGGGAGTAGATAAACAACCACACTTTTGACAGGAAACCACGGTATCATTGTCGGGTAAACCTAGTTTAAGTTTAATCCTAGTTGCCTACTACACTAAGCCGAGTTACAGGTAATCTATGTCTTGTAATAGTATAGCCTAAATTAAAGATCTCAGAACATGAAGTGCCCGTCATTTCAGGGAAGCCACCGTTGCCACGCGCGAGCTAAGGTCGACTTTGAGCCAAGACGAAGCAAATCCCAAGGTCATACCTCCATACTTCACGCAAAGACAGGAGGCGTACACCGTCGCCGTTCACGGGGCAGAATGCTTCCGCTGCACCTCTCGCTGCGTCGTACTCTACTCCTCTGCATATCAACTGGTTTTGCACCGTGCAAGCCCTGTTCAGAAATCGCAGAGTGGCGCACACCGTTCGCAATGAAATCGCAGCACAGGAAGCTCCCCACACCGACGCCATCCGTCTCGACGGCGACGCTCCTCCTGCTCCCCCTCGCGCTCCTCGCCGCCGTGCTCATGGTCGTGTACCCCAACGAGTTCGCCCTTCAATCGTCGCTGGCCGGCGCCGGCTGCCCCGACGGCGCCAACGGCATCAGCGTCGCGGCGCACCACGTCGTCGCGCAGGCGGCCCCGGACTTCCGGCTGCTCATGGGCGTGCTGACACTGCCGAGCCGGTACGAGCGGCGGCACCTGCTCCGCACGGTGTACGCGCTCCAGCAGGCGAACCTGACGGCGCGCGTCGACGTCCGCTTCTTCTTCTGCCGGATCGAGTCGGACGAGCAGCGCCTGCTGGTGGCGCTGGAGGCGATGCGGTACGGCGACGTGGTGGAGCTGGACTGCCCGGAGAACATGGACAACGGCAAGACGCACTCCTACTTCTCCAGCGTCCCGGCGCTCTTCGGCGACGGGGCGTACGACTTCGTGATGAAGGCCGACGACGACACCTTCTTCCGGCTGCCGCAGCTGGCGGAGTCGCTGGGCCGCGCGCCGAGGAAGGACCTCTATTACGGCTGCATGGTGCCGTGCGACTACGTGCGCGGGTGGAACGAGTACATGTCCGGCATGGGGTACGTCATCTCGTGGGACCTCGTGGAGTGGATCGTGGCGGCGGCGGACCAGATCAGGAACCACACGGTCGGGCCGGAGGACAGGACGCTCTACTCCTGGTTCAGCGGCGCCGGGAAGGCCAAGAACCGGGTGGACGTGAAGCCGGCCATGTACGACTTCCCGCAGCGAGGCGCCCCGTGCGCGCACGAGCTCGTGCCGGACACCATCGCCGTGCACCGGCTCAAGAACAACTTGAGGTGGTCCACCACGCTCAGGTACTTCAACTTCACCGCCGGGCTCCAGCCCTCCAAGTTCTATCGCTTCGTTTGATGGAATGATCGAGAGGTGATCTTGTGTATGTAGCATTTTGAATTCGGAGATGCTAAAAATCAGTCGACTGAGACTTCGCGAAGTCTCAGTCGACAGTTCTGGCCGTTCGATGTTTGTGGTTTCAAGATTCACGTCATATAGTGTCTTGTATCAATTCGGCCTGTTAAGACGTGACCAGTCTATTTCCTTTTTGTTTTTTTGACGCGATTGGATGGCCTTTTCTGTTGTTTTGCTTTTGTCTACAACAAGCAGGAAACTTGCTAGCGCAGCCCACTCTCCTATATACCTGTACTTTATTTTTTATTTTTTATTTCCCTTCTCTATTTTAGTGTATATAATCATCAATTTATTTTTGTTAAAATGGTTTACTTGTAATTTTTTTATCTTTTGGCAATACGGAACATCTAAATTTTGTAGAACAGACTTTTTTTACATGCATGAAGGATTTTACGCTCGCTTGTTCATGTCTTTTGTACATGGATTTTTTGTTTATCTATATGTTGCCTGTTCTTTTTTGTACATGGATTTTTTTTGTTTATTTGTATGTTGCCTGTTCTTTTTTGTTTTATTTTGTTTCAGTCATGTATTACCCAGGAATATATTTTCGTAGTGTTGATATGCCCTATTTTTCCTACGTCAGTTGACAGAAAAATTGTTGCCTTTTCTTTTTATTTGTCACAAAAACTCTTGTTCCACTTACGTACAACTAGAATTATCGGAATCCATGCAACTACGAAGGTGCAAAACGTATGCAATTGCATGCATCCGAAACTACGTGCAACTCAAGGGGTAAAACGTGTCCGCAACTGTGACGAGACTTGTGTGGCAATGAGATCGAAACACGCATAATATGAGGAATTTTATTATTTAACTTTATTTTATTTTATAGTTTTTGTATTTTCTTTTTCCCATCCACATGGAAGTCGACATCTAGTGGGATATTCAATTTTCTTTTGTTTTTCATGCAATTTGTCCCGTCGATGGGGTGTTTCTTTCTTTCTTTGTATTGCTCTTTTCAAACCTTTTTTCTTGCTACCTTGTTTTTTCATTTTTTATTAAATAACCGTTTCACTTTTGAAAATTTGAAATGTTGCCATTTGGTTGCACAATCGGCCCCCACTGCAACTACATGTCTTCAATATGATCGTAACTCTGTGGTGTTTTTGTTGGGGAGGGAGTAGCTAGCAAGGGTCACCCCTAGGTACAACTGCACATCTTCAACGCGATTGCAACTCTTGGAACGCGATTGCAACATGATCGTAACTCTTTGGTGTTTTATCGGAAGATGTGGCAGTTGCATGTCTATCACTAGGCACACAACTCCAAGTGCCGGCCAACTAAAACCCTATGATGTTCCATCGGGAGGACAGTTGCATGCTTGGAACTAGCATGCAATTGCAAGTGTCTTGTCTTGACTACAACTGCAAGTCTTCAACGCAATTGCAACTCTGTATTGTTTTGTCGGGGAGGGAAAATTGCATGTGTTGTTTTTTGAGGGGGTGGGTGAGTGTGGAGTTGCATGTATACAACCAGGCACGCAACTCTGATTGTCGTGCCCCATCTGCAACTGCATGTCTTGTAACCCGACCGCAAGTGGACTTTTTTTGTCAGAGGGGGCGGGCCAGTTGCACGCCCGACAACAGCCCCGCAACTGCAAGCGTCGCGCCCGACCGCAACTGCATGTCTCCCAACATGGTTGCAACTGGCCCGTTGTTTTGATGGTAGGGGCGAGCCAGTTGCATGTCCGACACTAGGCATGCAACTGCAAGTGTCACACCCGACCGCAACTGCATGTCTTCTAGCCCGACCGCAAATGAACTTTTTTGTTCTGTCAGAGGGTGCACCGTTAAGGGTGCGGGCCAGTTGCAAGCCCGACAACATCCCCGCAACTGCAAGCGCCGCACCCGCCAAAATTGCATGTCCCCCAACATGGTTGCAACTAGACCTTTGTTTTTTCAGTAGGGGAGGCGGGAGAGGGGGCGGGGCAGTTGCATGTCCGACACTAGGAATGCAACTGCAAGTGTAGCACACGACCGCAACTGCATGTCTTGTAACCCGACCGCAACTAGAGTTTTTTGTTCTGTCGGAGGGGCGTCGCTAGAGGGGGCATGCCAGTTGCAAGCCCGACAACAGCCCCGCAACTGCAAGCGCCGCACCTGACCGCAACTGCATGGCCCCCAACATGGTTGTAACTGGACCTTTGTTTTGTCGGAGGGGGCGACGGAAGAGGGGGTGGGCCAATTGCATGTCCAACACTAGGCACGCAACTGCAAGCGCCGCACCTGACCGCAACTGCATGTCCCCCAACATAGTTGCAACTGGACCTTTGTTTTGCCGGAGGGGGCGGTGGGAGAGTGGGCGGGCCAGTTGCATCTCCGACACTAGTTGCACATCCCCCAATGCGCAACCACATATGTGTAGTCTGCATGTAATTGCAAGTGACACCACCCGAGCAAAATTAGGGTGTGTGCGGGGCAGGCGGTTGTTTGCTTGGGCAGATCGATATGATGGGTTTATTTTTAACTTTTTCTTTTTCTACTTTCTCTTTTTTTGTTTTTGTGTTTTTTCCTTTTCTTATTAGTGATGTCTAGGATTTTTATTTTAAATAACGCCACTCGACTTGCACACCCATGGACCGCGCACTCGCCTGTACTCTGGCCATGCCCATCCATGTACAACTTAATATATTTATATTTTTATAAGATAGTGCCACTGGTTATGCAAGTGCCAGCCACATGTCAATCGTCCACGCACAATTGCATGCTCGTCATTTCTATGCAACCTTTTTTTTTTCTCAAAATAGTGTCATCTGACCGCTCACACGTTGATCACACGCAATTGCATGTCCGTCATCCGTGTGTAACTTATTATTTTATTTAAAATATATTCTATTTTCGCATAGATCACCTAAAACTAGTGATATACACTAAGAA